TCCACACTCCACATTCCCCCGCTGTCACACTGAGTGGACAAACACACGAGTGGAATTTACATCCAGTCCCAAGTGCAGATGTGGAATTAAGACAATTTAATAAAGGCTTAGAGGCGGCGGCGGCGGCGGCAGCGCCTTACAGTCGTTGTTTCCTCTGATCAGCCAAGGAGCGCGACTTTATTGGACATGTTTCTATTTCCAAATCCGCACATAACAGGCAACGATGCGTGGATTTGCTATAATGTAGATAAGAAACACACACGGAGGGAGAGCGAGAGAGGAGGGGTTTGATATGCAATAAAAGGTGGCGCTGCGCTGCCTGTTTAAGCCCCTTAAAGCCTGATAAATGATGAGCGACAGAGGCGCGGCGACGGGGTCACCGCTATTAACTCCTCACTTTCCTCGGCCTCCACTTAAACTTCTCTCAATTACACGTGGAAACGTGGGGCTGGATATCCACGCTGCGTGGTAGTGGGAATGAAGGCAAGGAGGGAAGAGCGAGCTTTGTGGATGCAGGTGTGTGTGTGTGTGTAGGCTGCAGTCACATAAAGACACTGTGGATTACAGTGGATTACAGCCCCGGCATGTGTGTGTGAGGGAGAGAGAGAGAGAGAGAGAGAGCGTGTGTGTGTGTGTGTGTGTTCTAACACATGCACACCAGGTATTCTGGGAGCAAACAGCCAATGGAAGCTCATTAAAGCAGCATTTGGTCTCTTTCCCGAGCAGAGGCGTTAACGACGCGCCCTAATCTCAGCGGTGACCTGGTAAAAAAAAAAAAAAAAACTGACGCAGGGCTCAGCCTTCACACGCAGGCTGCAGAATCAACAGTGTTTAAAGGAAAAAAACCAAAAACAAAACATTTTTATTATTATTTAAACAGCTAAAATCTGCTGTAACTCCCTGGAAACTACGTCTGTGATTGGTCGTGTTCTGGGTCAAAGACTTTCCATTTTAAACCCTGGTTTATTTATTACTCGTTATATCTTTTGGTGTTGTTTTTGTGTTAGTATATATTTTATAATCTGGTCTAATTACCCACAATCCGTCGAGCCTTTTATAAATAATATTTTGGATTAAAAAAATATTACATCAGTGAAAAGAAAAATCACAATTTAATTCGTTTCAGAATGCAATTCTTGTGCTTTACATAAAAAAAAATATATTACTCACTTTTCATTTTTATTTTATTACTTTTAAGCGTCATTGGAATAATGTTTGTTTATATTTACGCAGGAATAAAAACGTCCCCGAATGCGTCGTGACTCGCCGAAAAAAAAAACGTTTTAAAGAAAATCACTTCGATAATGGTTTTTTTTTAATTTTTAAACGTAATAACACTGCTGTCACCGGAGTACGGCAGAGACAGGGATTATGGTTATGGTGGACGTGCACTAGTTACTACTGTCTTTGTTGGACATTTTTGGCCGTTTATAATTTTTAAATAAAATATAATAAAATTGAATTAATGAGCGATTTTTAAACCAAATCAAACAAAATCCAATTGAAAACTCGCGTTAAAATCGCAGTCTTATAAAATAAAAAAAACTCTGAGTATTTTTTTCTAATCCGTGTTCCAGACACTTGTAACTGTCATCATCTGTAAAATCGAACCAACAGTAAAATATAATTCGAATTAAATACAAAAATAAAGAGAATATATTTTGATATTTTATGGTCAGTGGTGGTTCTTTTTAAACGTGTAAACACGCATTCTTTTTTTTTTTTTTCATTTTCTGGGCCTTCTTTCGTTTCAGCGTCTCGCCAATAACAGCTGACCCTGTGGCCGCCAGGTGTCGCTAGAGGGCCGCATATTCCCCACTGAGTCTCTGCAGGGTAAGACACGGCCACAGTTACTTTCTATCTCCCCTCTCCTCCCCTCCTCTGCGCTCGTCTCCTCTCCTCTCTTTCTGTGTGTGTCATTTTCTCCCCCTCCTCCCTGCACTCACCCTCTGACACCAGACTCTGAGAATCGGTGGAGGGGAAAATGAGGCTTTGGAGCTGAAGAATTTACAGTTAGTCGCGAAACTTTTACAAGTATTTGAGTTGCGCACTCCATTTTCTGAAACCCTATAGTCACATTTCAGCGTGTGGGGGGTCAGACAGAGTTCAGAGCCGGGGAGCCGTGAGTTAAGGCGGTGTGTGAGAGGAAAACACCGAGGATCCAGGTCATTATCAGACACATCATAAATTAAAAAAAGAACTGTCTGAGGCTCTGATAAAACGTGATTATTATTATTATTATTATTTTTATTTTGGTTTATTCTCAGTCTGCAGCTGAAGGTTGACGGTTGGAATTCGGTCTGCCGTGCTTGTCTGGTGTGGGCAGCAGCCAGTCTATGATCCACTTCTTATCTCGGCTTCTCTATACATTAGCTCGGCTCATTTGAATAATCTCAGCCGCCGAAGAGAGAGAGAGTCAGATTAGAACAAAGTTACAAACAAGATTAGGACGATTTTATTTGTTCCTGCGCTTCAGCTGGGATTGTTTCTGCAGTATTTAAGGTCACTAAGAGGATTTGGAGCCGGTTTCATATCAGTGATCTTTTTCAGGGCATTGAATGCAACAATGCATTCGCCCCCTCCTCTTAATATTTAGCAGCAGGCTCTTTGGTGAGAGGTGGCTGAGTGGGAGGGTGTAGGGTCTTAGCTCTGCAAACAGAGGCAGTGTAGAAGTTCAGTGGTGCACCTTCGGTGGATCTCCAGCCTGGTCATTGTCCCACTATGGTTTGTGTTTTCCTTGAAATGGATCCTCTGACCCCCCCACCGGCAAATGAATCGAAACGCAGCTGGCCACGTCCCACACGGACACCGAGAGCTTTAACCCTGCACTGACCTCCATTTGACACCGGCGGGAGAAACGTTAGCGCCCGTTAATGCCGTCCACTGATTTTTATTTTTATTATTATTTCATGGGCTTAAAGATCGGGGATTGTGTTTTGCAGCCTGCGTTCAGACCCCGCAGCCGTCGACGGCGGTGGGTGATCCGGCTTGTAAACGCGGTCATGTTGTCAGCCAGGGGAGTTGAAGTTGGCACGGCTCTTGTTTATGGGCTGGGAAAATTAATTTTAATTAACCACTGAGTGAATGATGATTAAAATGAAATTAGAAAATCAAACGCCGACTTGTGTAATCTCACATCTAAAGCTGATTATAAGCCAAATTAACCTTATATGCCGCGGCTTAAATGTTGTTAATTATAATGTTTTATGTCTTTTTTTATGGGCTTCCATTAATTACCCAAATAAATACTTGCCCCCCACCCAAAAAGAGGTAGAGGGAAAAAAAGGGGGTTTTAACGTTTTCGCGTCGTTGCTGGAAGTTTCATGTGTGTCTGCGGAGCCGTACATTGGACACGCATAATTAGCCCCTGCTATTTTCACACGCTCCTCGGCTGTTTTGCATCACTCTCCTCGGGGGCAAACCGCACATTTCCACAATAAACGCACAGAAATTACCTCAAAGTCCAGAAGAATTCGTTTACAATTCACTCGAGCGCTGGGAGATTGTAGCACTGAAGATTAATATTTTCTTTTTAAAAAGCATGCTTCTTTCTCTGCAACTTTCTCCTTTCGCTGCGCGTAAAGCTTCACTCACAGATATATATTTATAAGGTTTAATCCACTTACCATTTGCATCCAGAGAAGCATGGAAAAGGTAAAAAAAAATAAAAATAAAAAATAAAAACCACCGGTGTTTAAAAGTGAAACGGCGAAGCGTGTTTTTTTTTTTTTGGAGGAAAAAAAAAAGGTTGAGTCTTGACTTTGAGGCTGTCGCCGGGCTGGATGTGTCAGGAGGAGGAGGAGGAGGAAGGACTTGGAGACGGTGAATGCCTTGGCTCTGTGCGCACCGCTCTGCAGCTCCTTCCCGGGTTATTGCGCGTTGAAATGTCCACACAGCCGTTTGTCAAAGCTTACAGTGCCGCACTTCCCACCCCCCCTCCATGCCAACAAACATAACAGTTGTCACGCTTTCATTTATTAACTCTGCAAAACCAAACGAGAGAAATCTCGCCGTTTCTCCTGTAATCATCTCTCTGTCTCTCTCCCTCTCTCTCCCTCTCTCTCTCTGCAGCTTGTTGTTTTTTTTTAGTTGTTGTTGTTTGTTTGTTTGTTGGCACCGTTTATTGACCCCTCCACCACAACAGTAGCCACTGCATCTGCCCCTGAGCGCGTGTCTGCTTTAATCCTAACCTGTGAATAATTAATTTCCACCATCAAAAATGACAAGGAGCCATAAACGGTGCTCCCCTTTCTCTCCCTCTGTGTGTGTGTGTGAGTGAGTGAGTGTGTGTGAAACCTATCAATACAGTCATGACGCCGTATATTAGCAGTGATGGATCTAAATATTCAGAGGGATACAGATGGCCCGCTGCTTGTTGTGTTGCGTTAAAGTGCTCCTCCAAAAAAAAAAAGAAGAAGAAGGAACGTTCAACTGCAATCGATGGCCGGAGCCGTTGCTCCTCCTCCTCCTCTAAAACTTCAATCTCCTGCACATGATTGATGATGTTGGGGAGCTTTGATAATTGACTACAGCGAAGTATAAGCACGGATTTCTATCAGGAGAGGAGGAGAAGGGGGGGCATTGAAGCAAAGAGAAACATTCAGAATTACTTTCTCTACTTTCTTTTTTTTTTTTTACCCTTTTGGAAAAGTTCATTCAGGGCGTAGAGGGGTGCTGAGAGGAGCACGGCGATAATTAGCTGTAAGAAAATGTTACAAAAAAAAAAAAAACACACACACCGTGATGCTATAAATTAATGACCCAAATGGTTTTTTTTTAAAAAAATAAAACATTTATTTGACTGTATGTGTTGAAAGGGGTTGAAAATGTATATATTTTAGGGGTAAATTGAACATCTTTAGCCGTGTGCTAAAGTTAGCACGCGTCGTGCGTTAGTCTGTTTAAATTCAGTCTTTTTACGCCTTTAAAATCACATTTCTGGCTTTTTTTTATTTGAAGTGTACATTGACTTAGTGTGAGTGTTTTTTTGTTTTTTTTAAAAAAACCACCTTCCTCATTCAACTCCTTCTCTCCTTTTCTCTGGGTCTCCTCACGGCTAAGGGGGAACTGGGTGGGAGTTGGTGAAGCTGCCTGTGTTAGTTTGGCGTTTTTACCCCCAGTGTGGAGTTGAAGCCGTTCCCTGCGCCTCTCTATCTACACACACACACTCTCTCTCTCTCACACACACACACTCACACTCGCGCGCGCACACACTCACACACACACACACACACGCTCTCTCTGCATATCACAAGATTTGCTCTCTCCTCTCTCTTCTCTCTGGAGCTGCTGTAGGACTGGCTATGGCCACCGCTACTTCCGGGATCCGTCATTTCATTCGCCCACCGCTCGGCGCTGCGAACTGACTCTGTTTCTATAAGCAAGCTAGCAGCCAACCTGCCAACACTCGCTGACACTCACTCATCTCAGCCTCCGCCAGATAGACGAAATACCTACGAGGGGGAAAAGAAGGAGCACATCTGAGTCGCAATCTCTCCATTTCTCCTGCGCTTCTTCTTCTTCTACTACTTCTTCTTCTTCTTCTTTTTTTCCCTGCCTTTTGTTTTTACAGAGATAATAAAACAAGATAGCGATCTGGAAGCGTTAAAGGAGACGCGGACTTTGCCGGATGAAAACGGACTAAAAAAGATCTCGTCCTTTTCTTGAACATCATCACCAACCGTCATTCATTCATTACCTTGACAACCTCTGGCTTTGATTGACAGCTGGAGTGGCAAAAAGCCATGAGACACGACAGTTTAGTTACATGCAGGTTGTTGATGGGCCGATTGTAACCTTCACTTTGGCGCATTTTTTTTACTTTTTCTTTTTTCCAGAGGAAAGAAGGGGAAACAGAAGAGAGAAAAAAAATTGCCAAGAAAAAAAAAATCTCCCTGATGCTACGATTTCAACTTAACCACACTGGCGAATAGGAGAATTCGCAAAGTTGGTTGAAAACGGGAGAATCCTGCCTCTAAATCACTTTCTAACCGGGACGTGGATATTAAATATACGACAGATTCAGGAGTTTATTGGAGCGCAGCCTGATGGCGCAAAGGGTAGGTTTTAAATCTCCTTACACTTTACCTCTTTTACTCTCCTTATCTCTAACCGCCCAAGTTTTCACGGCAAAGCTGCGGGGTTTGACGTGTGTGCAGCGGCCACAGAGTGACAGCCTCAGCCTTCAGCCGACGACAGACTCCCGGCACCGCAGCACACACTCGTGGAACTCTTTCACGGGGGAACTCGAATTCACTCTTTAAAAGTCACTTTTCAGGGATAAAGGCAGTCGCTTATCATGTTTTCGGTGACCACGAAATCATTTTGAAACAACATTTAGCAGTTTTTATTTTTCTCGCCTCTAGCGCGTCTTCACCAGCAACAGCAACAACACCGCACAACACAACATGCTTGTGTGTATTTATTTTTTTTATAAATATATTTATATTTGTTCAAAGCAAAAAAATAACGCGGACTCTTCGCTGACTTCTCTCTCATTCTGTCCCCAGTACGATGAGCTGGGCCATTACGGTGGGATGGACGGAGTCCCGGCGTCCATGTACGGGGACCCACACGCGCCCCGGCCGCTTCCCCAGGTCCACCACCTGAACCACGGACCGCCGCTGCACGCCAGCCAGCACTATGGAGCCCACGCTCCCCACCCGAACGTAATGCCCACCAGCATGGGCTCTGCTGTCAACGACGTTTTAAAGAGGGATAAAGATCAAATTTATAGATAAGGTCTGCGCCAAACAGCCCCCAAAAAAAAATCACGTTTCTGGGGGAAGGTTTTTTTTTTTTTTCACCTTTTCCAAAACTTTTCCTGTTTCCTGGGAGTTTCTTTCACTCCACCGACTTAAATTGAAACAGTGTTGTGTGTCAAGGATCGACCGCAGTCCTGGAGCTCCATTGTTGGTCAGGGGAGTTTTGTTGATGTGTAATTTCATACGCTGCACTGAGTAAGACTTCAGCCCCGAGCTGGAAATACAAGCTATAAAATAATATGGAAGCGTCTGTGCGTCGAGTAGAACACACACAAGTACATGCAAGTACAATTAAAAAAATAATAATCATCACAAATAATTAACACCAAATCACTACTTGTAATTTTAGTCTGACTATTTAACCCCGAACATTAAAAACAACATGAAATACCAAGACTTAAACGTTGTTCTGGAAACCTGCAGAAACTTGTCAGTTTTTTTACGTTTTTTTTTGCAGTCACACACACACACACACTCTCTCTCACACACACACTCACACACATGCGCACACAGACGTAAAGACGCGCTGTATTTTTTTACTGTAGTGTAAAATTATCTCTCCAAACAGTGAAATAAATCGTACTTTATTCTAAAAGAAACCGCACTGAGTTCCACCGTATTGCTGAACAACACGTGTTCACAGAAGGTGCCATAATCCCCTCAGTGTAGAATTATAATCTGGGATTAAAACTGTTAGTTTTGCCACATGATGTATGGATTTCTACGCCACGTCCTGTGAGTAAAAACGATTTTATATTAATTTATGAAGTAGCACAAATAAAAATAAAAGTGAAGTTGACTCTTAAATCTCATTTATTATTATATGTTTTAAATCTTATAATTTTCCTTCCGTAATGACTTACCTGTTGTCCTTTAAATATATGAATCTTTTTATTGTAAAAATAAAATTGTCCTGTTAAAGAAGACAACTTTCTGTCCTCGGTGTCTAAATCTATGGCGTTGCTTTACTGAATAATTATCTAATGTAATTCAAATGTTTTACAAACCTTACGATCGGTGCACGTTTCAGACCAAACTACGTTTCGACACGTTTTCTTATTTTATTTTCGGAGACTTTTTCCTGACTTGTCAACGCCGTCTCAGAGCCTGCACTGTAAGAAATGTCAGTCGATTAATGTCTCACGGGAAATAAAATCTCCAATTTCACTCTAGTCCGACGGCTTAAATAATTTAAATGTGTGTTTAACCTTTTAAGTCGACTTTAAACAACTCCCGAAAATATTACACTTAAATCCAACGCGTAGTTTGACTTAGTTATTTGTTATTTGCATTATTATTATGTGTATAAAAAACAAGGTATAAATAAATTAAAGGGTCAAATAGAAGTTTTTGGAATTAAAAAAAAATAATGTTGACTGCATGGAGGTGATGTTTCTGGGGACTCGTTTTGCAGTTTTCTAGGGGTCTTTTTGCAGTGGAGCTCCGTGTCAGCCGCTGGAGCTCACACTGTGTTTTTCCTCCTTCTTCCAGTCACCCTTTATTCCCACTCCTCGCACTGGTTTTTGAGAAGTGCGAGCTGGCGACGTGTACTCCGAGGGAGCCCGGCGTAGCAGGAGGCGACGTCTGCTCCTCAGACTCCTTCAACGAGGATATCGCAGTCTTTGCCAAACAGGTTCAGTTTTACGCATTCAAAATATACATGTTTGGCCTGGTGTCGTGCGTCATTACGCACGGCTTGGAGTCCAATCCATCATTATTCTGTCTTGAAAATATGAAAATTACATTTTGTATTCTGTGCGAATTGGCACAAAGTTGTACAGAATCCATGTGTGCAGTGAGTTCTGATCCAGAACTGACTTTGACATTTGGTGTCCTGCTGCAGGTCCGTGCAGAAAAACCTTTATTTTCGTCAAATCCAGAGTTGGACAATTTGGTAAGTGAACACATTTGGACTTTTTTTTTCTCTCTGTGTGTCTGTCTGTCTTTTCTGCGGTTATCTCTCCGCTCTTGTCTTGTTTGGTGGGATTTACTCTGGAGCATATCCGCCGCAGCATCTCCCAGTCAATAAGTGAACATATGATTTAAACTTCCGAAGTGAAGCCGAGCGGCCACAAGCTGTGCCGCTTGTGCGCCATTGTTCCCTCTTTCCCCCAAAAAAAAAAAAAAAAAAAAAAACTGACCATAAGTGACCGAGTGCTTTGTTTTGATGTCTTTTCTGACAGTGTTTCAGAGAGTGTCAAATATAATACCAATTATTATTCTTTCTCTTTATTTCCAGATGATACAAGCCATACAAGTATTACGGTTTCACCTCTTGGAATTAGAAAAGGTAACTACAGTCCATCCCTGTGTTTCACTGTCACCGTCCATTCACTCTGTGTTGTTTGGACTGACGTCTTACAACAACCCAGACCAATTATTAATATATATATTTTTTTAAATCAAATATCTTATATTATTTAGCCAACTCTTTGCGCAGCTGAAGTGAATATTGATCACGGAGGCTGCAGCCTGTTTGCACGCCTTTGCACAGTGTTATTGATCTGCAGATTTGGTTTCAGCTGCTCATTATTCCGCCAGTTTAACGGCATGCTCTTTATTTTTCTGTCCTTCAACTTGTTGCTTCCCGTGTCCTGAGAAAAATAGTAATAATAATAATAATACAAAAACCCAATAATGTACACGGCAGCAGTTCCACCACTGTCCCCGATCATGAGAGTCATTATTCAATTTAGAAAAAAAAATGGTCTTAGTTGATGTTTTTCATAGACTCCCTGTGGTGAAGCTTGTCTTTAATTCTGGACAAAAAAACATTTTTTATTTTTTGTATTTTTTTCTCAGGTGCACGAGCTCTGCGACAATTTTTGCCATCGGTACATCAGCTGTTTGAAAGGAAAAATGCCAATAGATCTAGTAATCGACGAACGGGATGGCAGCTCCAAGTCAGACCACGAAGAACTCTCGGGATCATCGACTAACCTCGCAGATCACGTAAGTCGCACCAGCCTTTGTTTTTACTCTATTCTCCTGCTGTTTTCGGTGCGTCTGCTGCTGACGCGCGCCCCCTGTGCTCGGTGGTGAAGTGGCTTTTAGGTTGTTTTTTTTATATATATATATAAAGGACTGAAAATCGTGCCATGTTCCGAACTCCTGATGTTGTTTTGGCCCCTGTGCTCATTTCCTGACCCCGCTGTGCCATCAGTAAATAAGAGCCTGCTTTTCTCCTCTGTTGTGTTCGGCAAAAGGGACGAAATCTGTGGATCGATGCTCTGGGGTCAAAAGCTAGATGCCATACAATGGACTGAGTTATTGTTTTAGGGTCTTTTGATGAGGGGCGCTCATGTGCGCATAATGTGTCCCTACTTGCTTGTGTGCTCAGTTTTTCAGCCTGTGTGTGTGTGTGTGTGTGAGAGAGAGAGAGAGACAGGGAGAAGAGAAAAAAAAATCTAGAGGCAATTATCTGTTACGCAGGTTTAACGTTAAAGCAGGGTATCAGGGGCTATAAGCTGTAGCTTTAGGCCAATATTTAAAAAAGAAAGAGGGTTTTATATTGTGAAGCTGGAGTCGGATCTGGAGCTGGAGCTGCTCTGTGCGGAATGCTGCGGATTTTTATTTTTTTATTTATTTTTTTGTGCTGCAGAGGTGGAGAGGAATAAGTGGTTGTAGCCTATAGTGGTGAAACCGATCTCTAAATAGAGCTCAAGGCTTTAGCATCAATGTCAAGTTCACTAGGCATGTATGATGGTCGCTGTGTGGAGGGCCCTTCATTGCTGTTGATGTTAATGTGTTTAATTGTTTCGTATTGATTGCGTGTGGTTTCCACTGCAGTGCCTTCCTCCAGCCCCTGCCTCTTTGCTGCCCCTGTTTTATGGCTGGAGGCTCCATAATGCTGAATTCAATTATATGCACCTGAAGTACAGGAGCTTCAAATTTGAAAATCGATTCCATGGATTAAAATAGTGCGTTTTTTTTTTATTGTAATGAACCCCGGGCAGAGTTGATTTCCCTGAATTATGACGTGATGACGTTAATCTTTGAGGAGAAACCAAGTGACTAGTTAATATCTGTGCAGCACGGGGCCAAGCCTATTAGGAATTAAAGCAGATTTAAGTGTTGTGCAGCGTCACCAGGTTGCATCTGTTGGCTCTGGCTGGAGGCCTAATAGCAGCGGATTCCCCTGTTTTTCCTCCCCTTAAACTCCCGTGCGCCCTGCGAGGACGCGCCGCGCGGCGCAGGGCGCAGGAAGTACGCACGGCGCACAAGGTGAATTAAACCCAATTACAGCCCGGTGTGGGTTTGAGGAACGACGATATTTGTGGCTGCTCCGACACAAGTGCCGAAATGAGGCATGCTGTTGTTTATGTTGTAGAGATTAGATAAACTAGCCTGTTTAGTTTGGTGGCAGATGGTTGATGCACAAGCCAATTTCCATGCGTTTGGTGCGTGATGTCTCCTCTTCTCCTCCTCTTCCTCTCCTCCTCTTCTTCTCCTCCACAACCAGTCTTTTGCCACTCGTGTCTCCTCCTCTTCTCCTCCACAACCAAGTCTTTTGCCACTCGTGTGTGTGCGTGATTTTTTTTTTTTTACATTTGTACCAACAATGTAAAACTCAGGGGCGGCAATAAACAACCGACTGCATGACAAGCCATTTGTCTCCATGTGGTTTGGAGTGACCAAATCATTAGGTGTTTAAACGTGGAGGGATTTACGTCATGCGTGTGACACCAGTGAGGTTTCTTATAGTGGACTGGAGTTGTCAAAAATAACCTGAAAAAAAAAGTGATACAATTATTTATTGTTATAAATAAACCAAGTTGTACAGTAATGAAGCAAACATCGGATGACGTCACGAAAATAATATTTGCAGAGATTTATATGCCTTATATTAAATATTTCTAACGTCAGATGTTTAATCAAATAGAGTCAGCCAGTTTATTAGCTTTATTCCAGCCCCTCACTCATCAGCAGACACTTTATTCTGCAGTCACTCTTCTCACAGACTTAGTCCCTGCTCTATTTATTAAACATTTCTCAGATAAATATTCTATGTTTAAAAAACAAAACAAAAAACTATCATTTATATGTTTCTGTATCTCCAAAAAAAAAAAAAAAAACATTTAGAATTTCAAAATCACAGCCTTCCGTCCTGGTGGCTCTTCCTAATACTTAGGACCTGGGATTTCCAAAACTGCAGGACTTGGTGTCCCATCGTAGTGAAATATAAATCCAGTAAGTCATTAATTTTACTGCCACACTCATCACTGCTTGTTGTCTCTGAGCTCGTTTGTACATTTTTGACACTGGTATATTTTTTATTTCAAGTCAAATAAGATTTTAAAATTCCATACAGATGTTTTTTACTGAGTCTCCAGTAGGTTAGCGTCATTGTCTTCAGTGAGAATAAATAAGCGTAAAATGTTGATAATATTAAATAAATAGTAGTAAAGTAAAAGTAATGTGTACTTTTAATATTGAAAAATCCAATGTCAAATATGTATGTGGCTGCAGATCTGCATGGAGCTCCAGGTCTGCGTTCCCCTCTGTTGATTTATTTATTTTACTCATTCTTTTGTATTTGGCCGAGTTTTATTTATTATTTATTTCTGTCCTCGCTCTGGATGGGAGAAAGAGGATTTTTTATAGTTAGATATGCAAATTTATTTAGTGAGACTCTCTCTCTGCCGTCCATTTTTCCATTGCTTTGATATGCATTTTTAATATATCGCCCGGGGCTACGTTTCATTTGGCGAAAGTTGGTTTTTCTGGAGAGGATGATGAGGCTCTTCACTGTGAAGGAGGCTCTGTGTGTGTGTGTGTCTGTGTGTGTGTGTGTGTGTGTGTCTGTGTGTGTGTGTGTGTGTGCAGCCCCATTCTCCTTCCTCCATTCTCTGCTTCTTCATACCTGACAGCAGAGCATAATAAGCCCAGTTTTATTTACACTTGAATGCAGCATTGTCTTAGAGATGATTGGATTATGGTACAGTGAGAGGGAGAGAGAGGGGGAGAGGGAGAGAGAGGCAGAGAGAGAGGGAGAGAGAGAGAGGCAGAGAGAGAGGGAGAGAGAGAGGGAGAGAGGGAGAGAGAGAGGGAGAGAGAGAGGGAGAGAGAGAGGGAGAGGGGGAGAGAGAGATGAAGTCTTGCTGACACTGTTGATTTCCTGTCTGTGCAGGCGGTGACTGTCTCATTCATGTATAGCCCACCCAAGGCTGCCTAACTCCTCATTGCCCCTCCTCAGATCAACCCCATTCCATTTTACAGAGAGGAGGGGGTAAAAAAAAAAAAGATGTTGTATTACACATGAAGGGTGGTGGGAGTAAAACGGGGGGAAACAAAGAGAGGAGCAGATATGTTAACTGTTGCTTCGATGTGTGTGTTCTCCTCGCTGATTTACTGTCTTGTCTTTTTAATTAATCAATAACATTTCTGGCTTTTTTTCTCGGCTACGTGCAATTAGGGAGCCGGAAAGAATTAATGGTGATCTGCTCTAATGGATTAGACGTTGCGCGGCTTTTTGGGTTGTCATT